ACAATCAATAATTTATTTTGCGTGCTGCCAAATAATTATCTGTTTACACCTGATTTTACGCCACTTCACGTTGTCTTATCTGAACGACAGAAAACAAAAGCAAAAACAAAATAACGACATCAGAATAAAATTAGACAGACCGAAGTGGACGATAACATCAACAGTTCCCCAAAACTCCAATACACATGTACGTAAATGTTCCTGATAGTGGATTCGGAGAATGAAAGTCAAAGTCAAAATGAGTTAAACCCCAAATTCGGGCCAATAATTCTTTAATAACAACGTATATTTGTAGTTGGTATTGATTAATACGGATTATTACATTAAACCTTATTTTAATATAATATCAAAAAAGTAATGCAACGACCAATCTAAACTAGCCGCAAGAATTTCCAGTACATGTATTGTTTGCTTCGCATGTTATGAGAGATATAATTGTTAAAGATTTTGACCCTTTGCGAGGAAGGTACCAGAGGGAATAAAGTGATATATTCCATTTTCGAACCAGATTTTTGTTTAGGGGAAATATTGGAATGTTCGGATGTTTATTTCGCATTTTATGAGAGTTTGGGTTATTGCAAATTTTTACCCGCAGTGGGGGAGATACCAGAAGGAGTTGTGCTATATATTCCATTTTCACGCCAGAGCCTCAATTCTTGCTCTATGAAAATGTGAAATGAAATCTTTTATAAAGAAAAGAAATGTCAAATGAAAAATTTTATAAAGGAAATATTGTTCATTTCATAGAAAAAGAATCCAGCCTCAGATATTGTGGGGGAGGTACCAGAAGGAGTATATCGATATCTACCATATTCACAACATATCTTGTGTTGATAGATATACAGGGTGAGATAAAAAAAAACTGCAACAAAGTCAAACGGCATAATTTTTACATTTTTTTTAATTTTATTTAATGAAAGCTGAAAATGTCGGAAAAAGCTTCAAATTTTAGAAAAAGTTTAGATTTGTTCGAATTGGTCACCTTGGCACGAATTATGGCCTTCAAACGGCCAATGAAACCGTCACACGCTACCCGAATGTTGCTTTGCGGTATTTTGGCTCATTCCGGGGAAGCTTTTGCTTGAGATAATCGACACATTGGTAATTTTTAGTGCCAACCTTGCTGTCCAAAATACTCCAGACACAATAGTCCAACGGATTGGTATCCGGAGATTTTGGTGGCCATTGTGCCTTTGAAATGAAGCGAGGAATATAATTTTGTAACCATTCTTGGGTGGCACGTGCTGAATGCGGTGGTGCTGAGTCCAGTTGAAATGTCTAAGGTCTGTGTCCAATATGTTTCGTGCCCTAGGCTTTAATATTCGGCATTTATTCTGATGCCACGGTCGATTAATACGAGTGGAGAGCGACCATCTGCTGTTATGGCGGCCCACGACATCACCATAACAAGTAAACACGTTAATTTTGTTTGTTTACAAACTGCTGGACAACGAATGTTTTCTCATCGGAGAAACCCAAATGCGGCAATTCACTACTTTCAGCCAAGCGAAGCAACTCTTTAGCTCTTTTGAGTCTATTTTCTTTCTGTTGCGGTGTAAGTTCTTGCATTTTTTGGAATTTCAATGGCTTTACCCCGAGCTCATTTTTTAATATTTGCGAATGAAATATTGCGATATGTTCAGCTGGCGAGCCATTTTTCGGCCACTTCGACACGGATTTCGATCTAGACGGCTTTTTACTTTTCGAACCATTTCTGCTGATGTTGCTGTTTTCTTCCGTCCACTTCCTTGACGTCGGGCTACGCTACCAGTATCACGGTAACGAGCGATGGTACGAGACACAAAAGATTTATTCACATTTAAATGTTGGAGTGCTCTAACGATAGCCACATGTGGTTTCCAGCTAAATGTAAAGAAATCACAAAATTCTCACCAAAATTCTTTTGTACGCTTGTAAACAACAGCTGTGGGACGAGTGGCCTAGAAATAACATCGGTCTAAATTTGTTTGCAGTTTTTTCATCTCACCCTGTATATGGAAGCTGTCATTGTACAATAAAAAAGTAAAGTAAAGCTACCAACAGGATAGATTTTTTTATCCTACTCCACATAGGGGTAAGGGTATTATGTCTTTCTGCATTTGTTTGTAACAAGGAGAAGGAAGCGGGTTAATAATGACCAATTGAATTTTGGCACATCCGACCGATTTCAGTCTAGAGGCAAGTACTTCAAATTTGGTGCAAAATCGGTTCAGATACAGCTATAGCTCCCATGTATATGTTTCATCCGGTTTTAGGTTTTAAGTCCCTCACATGCGTAATATGCACTCCAGAAAAATGATATTTGGGAACAGAAAACTTATGGATCTCAAAAATACATCTGTCAAATTTTATCCTATATATTTCTTTATCCGATTTCAGGTTTTTGTGCACCAAATGGTTAACAATAATATTTGATACGAGACATCATATGCAGCTCGAAAATACCTCTACGAAATTTTATTGAGATCGGTGCAGGTTTTTATGTTGCTTCGATATAAATCTTCAACCGATTTTACGGTTATTGCCCAAAATGTATGTAATATCAGACGAAATTGGTTAGATTTTTTTCATATTCAACCGAATTTTTCCATTTGTTGAAGCTCGGTCTGTATATCTATTGCTCCAAGAAATATTATTTTATACAATCCTTGTCGAAGTCATATCAAGCACTGTACAGCAATGCTATTTGGTTCATATTCAGTATGATCTACTTCACATAAATTCCCAATATAAATATTTTTTGTGAGGGGAGTTCTACTAAATACGCATAGTGGTGTAGGGTATCATATAGTCGGCCCGGACCGACTTTTGACCTTTCCTTACTGGTTTTGAAAAATAAAAACAGAATATTCCCAAAAAAAAAAATGATTAAAAGAAATGTAAATTTGTGGGGCGCGCATTAAGGAAATAAACCATTTTTGCCATGAAAGTAAATAATTAAAAACTCTGGATCATTTGTTAAGGGTAAATCCAGGCATTTCAAATATCTTTCGCGACATTAAACTCATTAAAGAGTGAGGAAAAATATCAAATAAATGAGAGTAACTTGTTGCATGTAATTTTGAACAATTCTGACATTCTGGTAGGAAGCGGGCACAGCCTCAAGGTTGTATTTTGGTAGTTAGTTTTAAGAAGCTGTTCTACCCATGGTACAATAACGATCTAAACAGTTCTATCTTTCAATTCCATGGCAGAACTGACGAATAGCTTTAATGCGCGTCTCGCAATTTACGCGTCTTCCAATCATTGATTTTGAAAGTATTCTGTTTTTATACCCTCCACCATACAATTGAGGCTATAATTTTGTAATTCCGTTTTTAACTCCTCGAAATACTCATGTTAGACCCAACAGAGTATATATATATTCTTGATCAGTGTTAAATTCTAAGTCGATTTAGCGATGTACGTCCGTCTGTTTGTCTGTTGTAATTACGCTACCTTTAGAACGAATTGAAATAGAAGGCTACAATTTTTCACACATGTTTATTTTGCCAGTATGCAGGTTAAGTTCGTAAATGGGCCATGTAGGTCCACGTTTTCTTATAGCCCCCATATAACGGAACCCCCCGATGTTCGGTATTTTGATGATTTTAGCGACATTATTCACCGGAATTCTTTTAAATTTGGTATTTGAAGTTCGTAATGGATGCTACACATTATGACAGAAAATTGTCTGTGCAAGTCCACGTCTTCATATAGCCACCATATAACGGTACCTCCCGATATTCGGTACATAGTTCGTAATGGGTACTACAGCCTATGACAGAAAATTGTCTAGGTCCACCTCGTGGTATAGACCCTAATGTAAGGGCTACATTCGGTATTTTTAAGATTTTAACATAATTTGTGACGGATTTTATTTTATTTATTTATTTATTTTTTTTTTTTTTTTTTTTTTTTGAAAATTGCCAAAATCATTCCCAGTGTTGGGGGTATTCAAAAGTATTTTTTACTTGTTGTAGTTACTTTTGCGAAACTGTGCTACCTCCTTATTGTACCGAACTGACTTTCACCAAATTTGACATATTTGCTTCTAGGCTCAATTCTGTCGAATCTTCAAGAAAATTATCCATTCCCACTGTCCCCCCAAGTTTCTCTTTTTTCTTTCCTTTTCTTTTAATAGGTTCGCACATGCATTTCCATAATCGCTTACACGGCTTGACAAATGGTAAACTTCACAAGTTTGATGATTAACATTTAATAATGTCAAATTGTTCAATCTTATTTTTATTTATCAATTTAGATTGTGCTGATAGCTGGTTCTACTGTTTGTTTGATACGGTACTCCCATTTATTTATCAATCGGAAAGCTTACCTCTTATGGTTAAAAATAAAACGTTTGTTATCCCTAAAGTGAGTGAATACAAACACTCCCAAACACACACACACACACACACACTAGTACATATTCCAAATGTAGAGTAGCACTTTAGAATTATCAAATCAGGAATTGATTTATAACTCAGACCAAAGAAATAAAAAACGAATAAATGTCGACTAGTGTTTGTTAGCCAAATATTTACATCCATTTATAATTTTAAAGTCGTTCCACTTTAATTGTTTACAAGACGACAGAAGAACACGGACATTATCTGACACCATCTATCACACACTCACACGCACACACACACACACTTGTTGTATCACTTATCAATCAAAATCAAAAATTTGCTATCAAGGTTTCATTCCGTTATCGATGGAACTAATGGATGGAACGATCTTGAAATTGCACACTTCTTTTTGTTTTTGCATTTCTTGCAAAACCTAGAACTTCTGTCAGGAAAATTACATTTTTAATTTTTTTTTAAATTACACATTTTTTTAAAGTACACATGTTCATAAAACATCAATTTTATATTGGAAGTTTGAAACACTGCTAGGTTTAGGCCTCTTCGCAGCCAGTAATAGTCGCATTACGCACATGTTGTCGATCTGAATAGCATTCTCAGAGCTTATCCATGTTTTTGTTATTCATTGGCTTGTTTATCAACCGCACTTACACTTTTTTATAATTCCAAATTGTTGTTGTTGTAGTAGCTAGCGAATACAAATGCATCTACCGATTTCCGATTTCGAAATTCAATTGTGATATGTAACGGTAGGTTTTTTTTTTTGCTTCGAAGTTGTCAGCCTTTTCCGGGCACCTATATCAACCGTATCCGTTGAGAAATGTCCGCGAACTGAAATTAGGTCTTAAAAAACTATCGTGCAGCCAAAGAAGAAAGAGAACATGGTCTCTTTATCTCTCTCTCCCTCTCTTTAGTCCGTTGTTACTCTTAAACTCTTTAAATTTTACTGATTGTCAATGATGGTGAGTAATTCATAAAACACAAATCGAAAGCAACGCATGAACGTAGCAAAAGTTCGTAACAACCGAACAACCGACTGGCTATCGTTGCATTTAGTGATAAGAAATTCAATTTATTTGCGGCTGAGATAAATTCACACACACCCACACACCGAGTGTCCATAGCCCTTTGTTGGGCACATCATGAGATGTGGACTTTTTTATTTATTTCAAAAATGCTAACACTTGAAAATTATTGATTACAAATAATTAGAACATCAATTAAACATGACAGACGAAAATAATAACATTTCTTGTGATCTTTCTGCGTTTTAACACGATCTGCCGATGCAAAGTATACATGAATTTATGGTGAATAAATTCTGTAATTAAGACACTACTTATCAGAACTCACAAGAAGATATCATTTTTAAACCCTCCTCCATAGTATGAAGGGTATATATTAAGTTTCTCACACCGTTTGTAAAACATCGCAATATACATTTAACAGTGCGTTTTCATATAAATACATTAAGCCACTGGACTTGGATTAAAATTGTCATATCCATTACTTATACTTCAAAAAAATCTTCCTAAAGTAGGTTAGCCCTACATGACTCTTATAAAGTATATATATAGTAAAATTGATCATTTTTTTGAACGCTACAGTAATTTCTGCAAACATATATATATATATATATATATATATATATATATATATATATATATATATATATATATATATATATATATATATATATATATATATATATATATATATATATATATATATATATATATATATATATATATATATAAATATATATATATATATATATATATATATATATATATACATATATATATATATATATATATATATATATATATATATATATATATATATATATATATATATATATATATATATATATATCGATTTAGCGAAGTTCGTCCGTTCGTCTGTTTGCAGAAATTACTGTAGCGTTCAAAAAAATGATCAATTTTACTAATTTAGGTCTGTAGAATTTTTTATAGAACAGTGTGGGCTTGTTTGTTCGGGATACCGTAGTATTTTGTTGTTGCAAAATGGTCAGGCTTTATCCCTTTATTGTTGTTTTTATAAAAACAACGTTTGTTTATTAGTGGAGAACGATAGTAATGTTTACCAGGGGGTACCTAGGTTTCGGAAAGAGCCACCAATCCTCATTAGTTCCCTTGTTTTTTGTCTGGGATATACTCCCCAGAAGAAGAAAAAAAACTTCTATGACAAAAAAAAAATTACCCAAGTGACGAGATCGTAAGCTCAATAGAAGAGGAACCAAAGAATTAAATAAAACTAAAATTCATTTGAAAAGTCTTCTAAATCTTACAACCGCACTTATAAACATTTACATCCATTTCCACTTGTTATGCTTTCGTCCAACCTGAACGAAGTAGCATAACCATGTAAGTTGGTTTTGTCTGTTACAACAAAAACCCCTTCGTCGACCGTGCCTTGTCTATTAATAGAACAATGTTGGCTTGTTTGTTCGGGATATCGTAGTATTTTGTTGTTGCAAAAATTGCTTATATCTAAAACGTGTCGTATACAGGGTGAGATAAAAAAAAACTGCAACAAATTCAAACGCCATAATTTTTACATTTTATTTTAATTTTGTTGAATGAAAGCAAAAATATCGGAAAAAGCATCAAATTTTAGAATAAGTTTAGATTTGTTCGAAATGGTCGCCTTTGACATGAATTTGGCCTTCAAACCGCCAATGAAACCGTGAAACGCTGCCCAAATGTTGATCTGTGGTATTTTTGATCATTCCCGGCGAAGCGCTTGCTTGAAGTGATCGACACTTTGGTATTTTTGCTTTCCAAAATGCTCCAGACGCATTTGTCCAACTGATTGGTATCCGGAGATTTTAGTGGCACTGGAAATGACGCGAGGAACCTAATTTTGTAACCATTCTTGAGTGGCGCGTGCTGAGTGCGATGGTGCTGAGTCCTGTTAGAATGTCCAAGTTCTGCGGCCAAATGTTTGCATGGCCAAGGCTTTAATACACTCTCCAGAATATTTTAGCGTTAATATTCGGCATTTATTCTGATGCGCTCATCGCCTGTTATGGCGGCCCACACCATCACAATGGCCGCCGCTTGAGATCTGGTGGCTAACCGAAGGTGTACATTTTCAGCTCACATCTATGGCAAGTAAACACGATCGTTTTGTTTGATTTCAAACTGCTGGACAACGAATGTTTTCTCATCGGAGAAAACCAAATTCGGCAGTTCACCACTTTCGCCCAAGCGAAGCAACTCTTTAGCTCTTTTGAGTCTATTTTCTTTCTGTTGCGGTGTAAGTTCTTGCACTTTTTATACCCTCAACCATACTATGGAGGGTATATTAACTTTGTCATTCCGTTTGTAACTGCTCGAAATACTCATGTCAGACCCAACAATGTATATATATTCTTGATCAGCGTGATCTCTCTGTCCGTCTGTCTGTCTGTTGTAATCAGCTATCTTTCGAAAGAATTGAGATAGAAGGCTAAAATTTTGCACACATTCTTATTTTTCCAGTAGGCAGGTTAAGTTCGTAAATGGGCCATGTAGGTCCACGTTTTCATATAGCCCCCCATATATAAGTACCTCCCGATATATTCGGTATTTTGATGATTTTAGCGACATTATTCACCCGAATTGTTTCAAATTTGGTATTTGAAGTTCGTAATGGATACTACAGCCTATGACAGAAAATTGTCTATGCAGGTCCACTTCTTCGTATAGCCCCCATATAACGGTACCTCCCGATATTCGGTATTTTGATGATTTTATCGTCATTGTTCACCGGAATTGTTTCAAATTACGTTTTTAGAATCCGTAATAGGATCTGTGACAGAAAATTGTCTATGCTGATCCAGGTCTTCGTATAGGCCCCATATGTCAGTACCTCTCTATATTCGGTATTTTGACCAGTTTAGGTACAATACCCACCGAAATTGTTTGAGATGCCGTATTTGACGTTCGCAATGGATGCTATAGCCTGTGACAGAAAATTGTCTATTCTGGTCCAGGTCTTCGCACAGCTCCGATATAATGGTACCTACCTATATACTATATTTTGATGTTTTTAGCTACATTATTCACCGTTTATTTCAGGTTTCGAATTTGAAAATGGTAATGGCTTATGACAAACAAGGCCTATGTAGGTCCACGTCGTATAGACCCCAATATAACGGCTATGCAGGGTTGCCCATATTCGACGGACCCATGACTTTTTGGGCCCATTCCAATCGACGAGGCTTGTCCGCAGGCAAAATTCTTTGCGTCAATTGAATTTTGTACGGGAACAAATGCGAATAATCCGTTGTAAAGTGCACCGAGCCATGCCCAACTGCTGAGAACGGCGTTTTTGGGATGTTCTTGGGGACCTCTCAACACTGGCTCGTACGGCAGCGATATTCTCGGCCGATCGCCTTGGTCGACTTTTATATGACCTCTTCGGATTAGAAAGAGCCTTGCCAGTCGAAAATTGTCCGTATAAACGCTTAATGGTGTTCTTAGAAGGCGCACTTCTCACATTTTTTAATGTTTTAAAAGCACGCTGAGTTTTCACAATTGACTTCTTCTGTTGAATGTAAATTTCAACTATTTCGCGTAGCGTGTATTGGTTCTTGTTAAAACTGCTTGGACTGACGCTTCAAACGCGGTATGTCATTAAGCGATGTGACATCTCTGTCAAAAGTTATGGCGTTGCCAGATGGGTCCGTCGAATATGGACAACCCTGTATTCGATATTTTTAAAATTTTAACAGAATTTTTAAGTACTCTATTTTTTGAAAATTTCCAAATTCGTCCCAAATGGTTGAGGGTATTCAAAGTTCGGCCCGGCCAAACTTACTGCTTTTTAACTTGTTGGAATTTCAATGGCTTTACCCCGAGCTCATTTTTCAATATTTGCCGAATAGAATATTGCATATGTTCTGCTCACGAGCCATTTTTCGGCCACTGGGACGCGGGTTTCGATCAAGTCGCTTCCTTACTTTTCGAACCATTTCCACTTCCTTGACGTCGGATTACGCTACCAGTATCATGGTAATGAGCGATGGTACGAGACACAAAAGATTTAGTCTCATTTAAACGCTGAAGTGCTCTAACGATAGCCACTTGTGATTTTCCAAATATAAAGAAAGCACATTATCACGCTTGAGTTCCATCACTAATAATTTTTTTTTTTTTTTTTTTTTTGGAAAATTCTCACCAAAATGCTCTTATTCGCTTGTGAAAAATATAATGAGCTGTCGGACGAGTGGCTTAAAAATGAAGTTGGTTGCAGTTTTTTCATCTCACCCTGTACTTCAAATAAATCTTCTTAAAGTAGGTAAGCCATACAAGACCCTTATAAGGTATATATATAGATTTAGCGAATTCCGTCTGTCTGCTGAAATTACTGTAGCGTCCAAAAAAATGAATAAGGTTGATAAAATTTTACTATTTTAGGTCTTTAGAACTTTGAAAATGGGACTATAGGTCCACATTTTAGAATAGCCCCCACATAACTGTGCCGGCAGATTAAAGGTCTTTTGGTTGTTTTCGTTTCAATTCTAAACCAAATTTGCTGCAAATTGGCAGTTTGTGTTCCGACTATGTGGAAAACATTCTTGCATAGAATATAGGTCCAAGATTTAAAATTCCAAATTTGAAGTAATTCAGGTGACAAATTTTGGCTAAAATCACTAAAATACCGAATATATGGAGGGGCTACACGAAGACGTGAACATGTGTAGGTCTTTTTCCGTCAAAGGATTTCGAGAAAAAGTGTGACACAATTCATCAAAATACCGAATATTGGACGGAACAGTTATATGAGGACTCATAGAATAGGATAGGACTCATATAACTGTTCATCCCTAT